AAAGAAGAGTGTTTCAATGGTTCAACAGAATATACTTAACACTAAAGAGAGTTTTGAAGGAAACGCAGAACAAAAAGATGTTAAGACATAGAAAACAGAAGTCAGGCATCCTTTTTATCAGCAATTACATTAAATGTAAATGATTGCATTCTAAAATTTAAAGACAGAAATTGGCAGAATGGTGAAAAAATACACAATTCAGCCAAATGCTATTTATAAGACATTCCCTTTAGATTCAAGCACATAAATAGGTTGAAAGTGAAAGGATGGGAAAAAAATATTCTACCCAAATAATAACCAAAAGAGAGCTGGGGTGGCTATACTGGTATCAGAAAAGAGTATGCTTGAAGACAAAAACTGCTGAAAGAAAAAGAATATTGTAAAATCATAAAGTCAGTTCATCAAGAAGATAATAACAACTATAACTACATAGGCCCCTAAATACATGAAGAATAAGTAGAATTAAGGGGAAAATTACAGATCAACAACAAKACTTGGAAGTTTTAATACTGTACTCCTAGATCAAAAGGAAATAAAAATTATGAACACACTATAGACCAAATGGACCTCATGTATGAACATGCCATCCAACAAGAGCAAAATGTGCATTCTAAAATATCYCCGAAACATTCTCCAAGATAGAGGACCATATGGTAGGCAAAAAAAGACTCAATAAAATTTATAAGACTGAAATTATATTAAGAGACTTCTCAGTCACATATAACAAATTAAATTTTTTAAAATAACTTWAAAAAGAATTTTTTTATTATATTAAATTGTATTAAGTATGAAAAAAAAAGACTTCTCAAACCACAATAAAATAAACTAGAAATCAACAGCTGGAGGAAATTTGGAATCTCACTTAAGATATACTTGCTTTTCTATAATTTTTCCAAATATATACCCTTAAATATCCTGCAGAGGTTGTAGACAGGGCAATTATAGATGAGAACAATAAAGTAAGTTATCAGAAGTGACTCTTAAAAGAGTTCAGGAACATCGCAGATATGTAATCAATATAAACACTTAAACAATCAAAAAATGAGATTAAGAAAATTACATTTATAATATAAAAAAGAATAAAACACTTAGGAATAAATTTAATAAAAGAAGTCAAAGATTTATATTTAGAAAATGCCAAAGGAAATTTTTAAAAGATCTAAACAAATGGGAGAATATCCCATGTGCAGGTCCTAGAAAACTTAACATTGTTAAGAGGGCAATACCTAAAACTCATATAAACAAGGAACCCAGAGTAAGTAAAACAAACTTATAATTATAAAACTTACACAACAATGTATAAAAGACAGTGCAAAAGCTAAGGCTTGTGGTTTGGAGGGAGAGGCTTGGGGGGAGCCGGTGGTGGCAGTTGGG